AAGGAAGGAAGGAAGGAAGGAAGGAAGGAAGGAAGGAAGGAAGGAAGGAAGGAAGGAGAAAACAAAACACCTCAAAAACAAACAAACAACAAATAAAATGCTCAGGAAATAGCAGTTTGGGGCCTTCCACATCTCCAGCCAGGCTTTCAGCAGCTCTGTCTTCTCAAGCATCACATAGTGGAAGGTCAGATTTTGAAGATACCTCTTCCATGCCTGAACTTCCCTCCTTCCCCTGCCCTCACTTATATTATAGATGAAGGGTCCAGGGAAATCAGACAACTTGCCTAAGGTCACTGTGATGATGGTTAATCTTGAGGGTGGGCACTGCAGTTGAAGAATTGGCTCCATCAGACTGGTCACGTGTGGGCATGTGTGTAGGGGCATTTTCATGATTGCCACTGACGAAAGAGGACCTGGTCACTGTGCTCAGTACTGTCCCTAGGCTGGTGGGCCTGGAAACCAGCCAGTAAGTAGTAATCCTCCTCCATGGTCTCTGCAGCAAGTCCTGTCCTATTGGGCTTACTACTCTGAATTCCTTCAGCGATGGGCTGTGGCCTCTGAGGTGAGTTCCAACTCTCATTTTCCCTCTGCCTTTGACCTGTAAGATGAAATCAATCCCTTCTCCCCAAGTTGGCTTCATAGTATTTATCACAGCAATAGAAAGCTAAATAGGGCAGTCACCCAGACTCTGGCCTGGATCCCAAGTCTCCTGACGCCCTCTTTAGTGTCTTTCCAGGCACCTGTTCTCTGTCACCCTGAACATCTGGAGAAGGTGTATGTGCCGTGGCCTCAGATGGAGTTATCCCGTGCCACAGAGGAATGCTGCCCAAGGAGGCCTGCAAGGAGCCCTGTGAGGCTCGTTCTTGCTCTGGGGTGCCAAGGAGCATAGGCTCTAATTTCCCATAGTGCTAACTTTTGTTTTCTCCTGCCACTTTCATTAAATATCCACTATCGCACGGGGGACAATTCCCAATTATCCTCGCTGTCTCGGCCGGCAGACACTCCGTCTGATTAAATAATAAGCTGATTTCGTGGCGAGAAGGATGTAGGGCAACTGTGGGTCAAGGGCTCATCCTGGAGTACCCTGGCATCACACAGCCAGAGCTCCCATATCTCTCAAACGGAAACTGTACCCGTGAAATGCCCACTGCCCAGCCCCTGGCCACCCCTGTTCTCCTTCCTCTTCTGTGAATTTCACCACCTTGTTCCTCCACAAATGTGGAGCTAACTGTATAGGACTTGTCTTAGTTAGGGTTCCCATTGCTGTGATGAAGCACCATGACTAAAAGCAACTAGGGAAGGAAAGGGTTTATTTTATTCACGGTTCCATACAGCAATTCATCATCAAAAGCACTGTGGGCAGGGACTCAAGCAGGGCAGGAAACTGGAAGCAGGAGCCATGCTGCTTACTCTCACTCCCCATGGCTTGCTCAGCCCGCTTTCTTAGAGTGCCCAGGACCACCAGCCCAGAGATAGCCCCACCCAAAATGGGCTGGGCCCTCCCACATTGATTCACGAGTAAGAAAATGGTTTCTATCCATTTTCATGAAGGCATTTTCTCAGTTGAGGCTCTCTCCTGTCAGAGATTTCTAACTTGTCAAGTTGGCATAAAAATAGCCAGCACAGAACTTATTGTTTTGTGTCTAATTTATTCCCTTTTTTTGTTTGGTTGGTTGCTTTGTTTTTTTAACATAGTGGTTTGGTTTTTTTTTTTTTTCACTTTTTTTCTGAGACAGGGTTTCTCTGTGGCTTCAGAGCCTGTCCTAGAATTAGCTCTTGTAGACCAGGCTAGCCTCAAACTCAAAATATCCACCTGCCTCTGCCTCTGCCTCCTGAGTGCTAGGATTAACACCGCCTGGCTTGCTTTGGTTTTCTGAGACAGGATCTCACTATGTAGTTCTGGCTGTTCTAGAACTCATTATGTAGACCAGACTGGCCTCGATCTCACAGAGATTCATTTATCTCTGCCTCCTGAGTACTGGGATTAAAGGTGTACACCATAATACCATCTAAAAAAAAATTGTTTTTAGCATAGAACTTTAATAGTAAAAGGATTTCAGCCGGGCAGTGGTGGCACACGCCTTTAATCCCAGCACTCAGGAGGCAGAGGCAGCCGGACCTCTGTGAGTTCGAGGCCAACGTGGTCTACAGAGTGAGTTCCAGGACAGCCAAGACTGTTATACAGAGAAACTGTGTAAAAGTAAAAGGATTTTGGTTGTTTAATTTTTATTTTATATGTATGAGTTTTGCCTACATGTATGCCAAGTGCATCATGAGTGTGTAATGTACTTGGGGGCCAGAAGAAGACATTGGATCCACTGGAATTACAGACGGTTGTGAGCCACCATGTGGGTGCTGGGAACTAGACTCAGGTCCTCTGCAAAAGTATCTGCAAGCCATCTCTCTGACCTCTGGGGATTTTTGTTTGTTTGTTTGTGTTGTTTGTTTGTTTTGGGGGTGGGTTGTCTTTAATTTTTATCATCATTATGTAATATGTATCTGCTCCCCCACCCCTGACTGTTAAGTGAAGCTTATTACTTTTATAATCAGGAAAAGAAAACTGCTTTTATTTTATTTTTAGAAAAAGAGAGTCACCTTGGAGCTATCTAAGAGGAAGTGCCCTGTGACTTTCAGGCAAGCTTTGGCTTTTTTTTTTTTTTTTTCCATCTGGATGACAGTAATCTCCATTCATTTGCCCAAGGCGAGACTGCTTGACATCAGAAAATCAAAGCAGTTTCTGGGGCTCAGGATGGGCTCCCCCACTGGTCCTGAGTTGAGCCAGGTAGCAAACTGGGTTAAATGATATGGCACAGGGGCTGAATAAGCACCCTGTCTGCCAGTACCCTCTCACAGAAGGATTCTGCCCACAGGAATGTCCACTGGGGTTCCCAGCCATCGGGAGCCGGGACATTCTAGGCAGTTCTGCTGGGTTCTCTCTAGTAGGCTTTCCCGGCGGAGACCAGGGCTAGGCAGAGTCAAGGCACTTCTGCTTAGTTCTGACACATCTACCCTCCTCCCAGCCCACACCCTACACCTCCAAGTGTCAAGATCATAAGACGGTAGACTCAAGCGTCCCCTGTCTGGTACTGAGGGTTGTGACCTTTGAGGACAGAGGACCATGGCTAGAAAGAGAAGGCCCAAGAAGAGGCCTGGCTAAATCAGCTTCTGTGATGAGATCCATTGGCTGCTTTCCCAACATCTGCTCTCTCAGGCCTGATGTAGACTGTGCCACCCGCTCCGTGCACCTCCAAAGCCAGGCATACAGTCCTGATCTGCCAGCTTCTACTTCTCAATCCAGTGACCATCCTTCCACCATGGCCCCAGGACCAAGGCGAGGGAGCGCATGTGAACAGGCCTTCTATGATGGCATCTCAGGCTGCTGTGCACACGTCCACATAGGGCGTGCCCAACCTCATAAAAATAATTGCATAGTCACGCATAGTGGTGTACGAAGAGGCATAGACACGTGGATCTCTGCGAATTCAAGGCCAGCCTGGTCTACACAGCAAGTTCCTAGCTAGCCAGAGTTACATGGGGAGACTTTGTCGCAAAACCAACCAACCAACCAAACAAACAAACAAACAAATAAATAAATAAATCGAATGGAAAAGAAACATTTATGAATACACACACACACCTTTTTTTTTTTTTAACTGACAGACTTTCATTTGGAAATGGCTCTCCAGGTCTGACACGGATACACTTGATTGCAAAAGAAAATTCTTAGGCCTAGAGACAGTAGGCAATTTAGGTCACATCGCTATGCTGAAGAGTTTTTATGTCAACTTGACACAAGCTAAAGTCATCAGAGAGGAGGGAACCTCAATTAAGAAAATGCCTCTGCATCCAGGAGCACACTCTTTTTGGAGGGATACCTTGCTCAGCCTAGGTAATCGGGGGGAAGGCCTTGGTCTTGTCTGGAAGTGAAATGTCAGACTTTGTTGACTCCCCATGGGAAGCCTTACCCTTTCTGAGGAATGGATGGGGAGGTGGGGTAGGGGGAAGGTGGAGGAAGCCGGAGGAGAAGAGGGACTGGGAACAGGGGCAGCTATGTAAAATGAGAAAAGATTGTATTTTTAAAAATTCTTAATAAAAGAAAGGAAAAGAAAAACAGAAGAAAAAAAAGGAAAAGAAAATGCCTCCATAAGATCTCCATAAGACTGTCGATTGGCACCTTTGCTAAGGGTCACCTTGAACCACTGCTGCTCCAGGGCAGCCTTCAGGAGTCAGCACCACGGCTGAAGACATCAGGACCAAAATCAAGGACTACAAAATCCCCTTTGACAGCCACTTTCCAAACCAGAACGAAACCAGGAACTGCTGGCTGAACTATCTGGACTTCCACCACTGCGAGAAGGCAATGACCACAAGCGAGGGTGGTGATGTCTCCATGTGTGAGTGGTACCAGCGTGTGTACAAGTCCCTCTGCCCCGTATCATGGGTCTCAGCCTGGGATGACGGCAGAGCAGAAGGTGCATTTCCTGGGAAGATCTGACCTGGCTCCACCCACCTCTCCTCTGTTCACTCTCCTCTCCCCATACAGTAAAGCGGGGGGGGGGGGGGGGCTCCGGGGTATAGGACAATCCCTACCCTGGGACCCTGAATCATGATGCAACACCTAATAAAAATTCACTGAAAAATTTCAAAAAAAAAAAAATCTGACTGTCAGCAAACCTGGAGGGCATTTTTTTTTTTTAATTAATGATAGATGTGGGAGGGCCCAACTCATGATAGGTGGTGCCATTCATAGGCTGGTCCTTGGTTCTATAAGAAAGCAGGCTGAGCCAGCCTGGGGAACAAGCCAGTTAGCAGCACTCTCTACAGGCTCTGCATTGGCTTCTGCCTCCAGGTTCCTGCCCTGACTTCCTTTGATGATAAACAGTCATGTGGAAATGTAAGCCAAATCATTCCTCCCTAAGTTGCTTCTGGCCATGGTGTTTCAACAGAGCAATAGTAACTTAAGACAGTCACCCAGCTGCAAACTGCAGAGCCAGGGAGCCAAGGCTTCCCCCGACGCAGTTATTAGGCTTCTGTGCGTAGGAAAGCCTCAAATGGGGCTCATACAGAACAGATCGTGGCCTTCTCCCCTGGAGCTTATTCAAGAAGTCTGGGGACCTAGGGATCCGCAGGAAGTTCCCAGGTGGCTCTCAGATTATGCTGTCTACCTGCCAGGCCTGTGTGAAGGAAGCTCTGACAAAGGGAAAAGCACAGCATTTGTGACAAAGGTGTCATTACCAGATGCTTCCTGGCCTCTCTACCCTGGCTGGCCACCTGAATGATTTCCAAAGTCTCTCTGGCTTCCAGGTCTGTGGTACTTTCTACTTAAAGAAATATGAGACCTGTGCCCCGGCCACCCACTGTCCCTCCTTACCTGGGAGCCCGGTATCTCGTGCGGAACCACCAGAACAGGTACAGAATCTAGGACTAGACAGAAGAAGCAGCCTGGTGTCACCCAGGAACTGGGGACTGAATAGGGAAAGACAGTGTCCCTTCCGGTGTCTCTCAGAAGGATGGGGCATGGGGTTGGGTACCCCAGAGTGCCAGGTTGTCTCGGTAACTAACTATTCAGCCCTATGCCGGCCAATTCATCCTGGTAACTGCTTTGTTTCTTGGTGGGAAAATTGTTGGGGGAGGTGTTCACTGGGCACAGTTGTTAAGTGAGAAGAGATTTAGGAATGACAAAGAGGTTTATAACTGTAGGCAGTACGTTCAGGATGCCAGAGAGCTGGGCATGGAGATGAATGCTGGGGATCCTAGAACTTGAGGGACTGAGGCAGGAGAATCATGAGTTCTGGGACAGCCTAGGCTGCACAGCAAGACCCTCCTGCAAAAACAAGCAAATCAAAGGCAGCACGGGAGATGGCAAGGTGGCTTCGTGGGTAAAGGCACGCGTCGCCAAGCTTGGTAACCTGAGTTCTACCCCTGTGACCCGCACAGTGGAAGGAGAGAGCAAACTCTGAAAAGTTGTCCATTGACCTCCACATTCACACTTTGACACACATATGCCACCACTCCAGACTAAATAAATAAAATTAAATGAAAACACAAATAAATATAGGATGCCCAATTAGGCCTGAATTTCATATGAAAGACAAATAACATTTCATACAAATACTAAATATGCCATATTACATTAAATAGGTAGAGCGTACTTAGTCTTCATATCTCTAAGAATAACATTAAGAAGTGATTTATCATTGATTTGAAATACAACACTAATCCTAGAATTTCTGCTTGGCTTGTCGTTTGCTAGTCTGTTTTGCTTTCTGTTACCTGGCCATGGGTGCTGCTGGCATCCCTTGCCCTCTCCCTTCAGCAGGGCAGGTTCTTCTCTAACCTTAGGCCTAGTGAAAGAGCCTGTCCTGTCCCTGTCTCCCCTCCCGGCTCCTCTCCTGGGAACTTGCTTTGAGGCTCAAAACTCCCCATCGCTGTGTGTCCATCAGGGGAGGTTCACCTGGCAGATAACACATTTTTACTACTGTCTGAGACAGTCAAGGTCACAGGAGAAAACTCGGCCCTGTCCCTGTTGGAGGAGGGGGTAGGGGTACAGAGAGCAGTACTAGAGGATGCCCTCTGCTTAGGTATGGGGGTTCCCTCTCTGGGAGGAGGCAGAATTTGTTCTTACAAGGCATGGCGCTTGTGCCCTAGGGCAGCCTGATTTTCATTGAGAAAGTTGGTGGTCAGAATGGCTGAGGAACTGGGAGTCGGGAGGAAGCATCTTCCAGCCTTGTTTTCGTGTGAGTGTGGCCTCTCTGCACACATGCCTTCGCTGCAGTGAGGCAGTCTAGACAACACCACCGTTTAAAAAGTCACTGTTCCGAGCCTCCCGGAAACCTCGCCTAGCAGAGTACTGTATCATCATTTACAGATGAGGTAAGTGTGTTACAAAGATTGGGGCTATCATTCCCAGTGGTAGAGCACTTGGCACTGCACACACACACACACACACACACACACATACTTCAGTGCCCCAACTGGGCCTTGGAGATTTGACCTTGGCCTTCATGAAAGACATAGACTGGGAAGGAGGTGGGGGTGGAGAGCAGAGGGAGACCACATAATGGATACCAAGGAGAAATAAACCCTAGTGTTCTACAGCACAGGCAGCTTTTCTTATTTAATTACTTATTGTTTATTGTGTGTATATGTGCCGTGTACATGTATGTCCAGGTACACATGTACATGTGAAGTGTGCATATGGATGGAGGCCAGAGGTCATGTGATTCCCTCAAGTGCTCTCCATCTCCTTTTAAATATCCTTTGAAAATTTTGGTTCTATTTTTAATTATGTTTCTACAGGTCTACAATGGAGAGGCTATGTGTGCCATGTGAGTGCAGAACCCAGTGAGTCACGAAGAGGTTGTTGGATCTCCTGGAGGTGGAATCATCCTGGGTGCTGGGACCTGAACTCTGATCCTCTCTAAGATACAAGAGCAGTAAATTCTCTTAGCCATTGAGCCATCTCTCTAGTCTCCTCTACCTTCTTTTTTTTTTTTTTTTTTTTTTTTTTTTTAGAGTGTCTCCCACTGAACCTGAAGGTTCCTGACATAGCTAGATTGGCATCCATTTGTCTCTACCCATCCAACCTTAGACACACACCATCATGCCTGATTTTTTACACGTTTGCTTGGGGATCGGAGCTCAGGTCCTCATGCTTGTGTGGTAGCACTTGATAAACCGAGCCATCTCTAGTCCCCATATCAACATACTTATATTTAATTAAGACCAGAAGGAGTCTGCAAGAGGCCAGAGCAAAGAAATGATCAACAGTTAATAGGACAGAAATGGTAAGCTCCTCTTATTCGATAGCTATATATCATGTACATGAATTAAATTATGACACGATGTGCCCCATTAATACACACAATTACCACGTGCCAACTAAAGTTTAAAGAACTGTCAAGTATGATAAAGAAGGGAGTGGAAATTAACCCCTCTTAAGCATCCACGCAAACTGGGTATCATTGTGCCCTCTCAGCAGGCAGGAGGACAACGTCCATATCTTGATTTCAGAAGCAGGGAAACTGAGGCAGGGGGAGGTCAGGGACTCATCCAAAATTGTAAACCTGAGTCCAGATCAGAGCTTGAGTCTTGCACTTACCAGGCCCTTCACCCTCCTTGCTTCTGGTTCACTCTGGGGACACTGTTCTGGCCACACTCTGTAGGCAGCTGCACTCTGAGACTGGAGCTGCCCTTGGCTCTGAGCCCCAGGAGGTGCCTTCCAGCTGTCACCCTCCTCTCCTGGCTGGATGAGACTAGTCTTCCTCTCCTCCCTGCCCTATCCCCAGGACCCTTACACGGGCTTCTGTTCAGTGCCTGTCCATTCTCCCCAGCCTCCTGTGTCCACCAGCTGCCCATTTTCTCCCATGGATGATAGATGTTGGGGAAAAAAAAAAAGCAGCTCCCCTTGCTCTGGGGCTACACCCTCATTACTGTGTTTTGGTTTTGACAACACATGAAGAAGGGAAAACCTTAAATGACTTACCTACTCAGAGTCCCCAGGACCTTAAAGCAAAACCCACAACTTCAGACTCTGACCCAGGGCACTGTGGAGGTCTCAGAGGTCAACCTAAGTAGCCAAAGGACAACGGAGCCAAGGCACAGAAGCATTTATAGCCCACTCCTCAAGGCCCCAGCTACCCAAGGCAACCCTGGAAACAGAACCCAAGCTCCTGCCCCCAACTGGAAGACAATGAGAGCCCCATAGCAAACACACAGTCAGGTAACGGACAAGCAGTCCACCAAGAGGGGAGCAGCCACAGAAAATTGACCCTCTCTCTAGAGAAGGCTTTGACAGGACATTCCTGTCATTCAGAATATCCTGGCAGATCTAGGGAGCCAGGCAGGAGAAGGGCATCACTCAAACCTGGGGGACTCTGCACCTTGCAGGCTAGATCTTTTATGAACTGTTCACATAGGAGAGGTATTAGGGAGAGAAAGTGTTCTCTTGCCACAGGAGTAACCGCTGGGCCTCAGGGTGTGTGCTTATGACCCTGTGGGGTGAACAAGCAGTCACGGGAATTCCGCACACCAAGGAACAGTGTTTCTGAGTTCTCAACTTTAGTCCGAAGACTAAAGGGAAGCTCACAGCTAGGCCACCTTTTGTAATGTGTGCTATACAGGACTGCAGACAATTACACCAAAATTTAGAGGCTCTCCGGAGGTGAGTTCTGTTCTGAGAGGTCAATTTGGGCCAGAGCTCACAGGCTCAGGAGCAGAAGGACGAACTCCACCCAAGGTAAGGCTATCACCTGCCTTCAGTCCTGGCGTGCACTCCGACAAATGCTGGGGTCCCTGACGTCTCAGCTCTGCCTTTACCTCCTTCATGCTGTGTTCCTAGAGCCCTGGGGTTCCCATCAGCCATTTGGATGTACGTGGGAAAGCAGGAGGGGCAGCAGGAAAGCAGGGGAGGTACCCACCCAAAAGATTTCTGTCCCACAATTCCACACCTAGGCCGCCTTTGTCCTAGCTGGGAATTTTCTTCACCAGAGATGGACTGAAGAGTCAAGGGGATCCCGGGACAGAAGGACCAGGTTAGAATCTGTGCAGCTAGACCGCGATCAAGACTGATCAGCTCCTCTCCATCTCTGGGTTTTGGGAATGGCAAGGCGTCCCACACAACATGGCGTTTTCCCATTAGGAGGGACCCGTACGTGGCTCACACCCACCTGTCCCAGGACCCAAAGAGCATGTGGACCACAAGGATGGAGAAAAGGCAGATCCTGAATCTGGGAAGGAGGTGAAGAAGAAAGGTAGAAACTTGGGAGAGTTCCAGATGGATTCTTTGACATTTTCTATGTCACCATATCGGGGAGACGTTCAGGCCTCTGCTCTTGTGGAGTTACACCTATAGCGATTCTCATTCTGAGCACTTGTTACTGAGTCCCCAAAGCGAGGTCACGAACATCCAGACCATGCTGGACTCTCCCATCTCCTTCCCTCCACCACCCAGCCCTGGCTTCCAGCCACCCTCTGGCTCACCTTTGGGCAGTTTGGATGCGTTCTCTTGAATCCAGGAGAAGAGGTGGGCGAAGTCACAGTCGCACAGCCAGGGGTTCCCATCCAGGCGCACAGTGCGCAGCGCCGGCAGTGCATCCAGAGCCGCCACGTTGAGGCTGCGCAGGTTATTGTCGTTGAGTTCCAGCACCTGCAGCGACTCCAGGCTCTCGAAGGCGGCCTCGTGCACACCAGCCAGGTGGTTGTTGGCCAGGCTCAGCTTGACCAGCCGCCCCGCCGAGCGGAAGGCGCCGGCACCCAGCTGGGTGAGGTTATTGTAGCTCAGGTCCAGGAAGGCCAGCTTCGCCGAGCCGCTGAACGTGCCCTCCTCCAGCGAGCGCAGCGAGTTGTTCCTGAAATCCAGATAGACCAGGTCTCCGTGGAAGATAAAGAAGTCCTCGGGGATCTGCTGGATTCGGTTGCCGGCCACTAGCAGCTTGCGCACGTCCAGGGGGAAGGGATCGGGCACGCTGGGCAGCCCGCGATCACGGCAGTCCACGGTGTGGGGGTCGGTGCAGGCACAGCCCGCGGGGCACGCGCGTCCCGGCCCGAACAGCATCAAGAGGCTACCGAGCCCCAGCGCCGCAGCGGCGCCGGTGGGGCGGCGGGGGACAGAGCAGAGACTCATGGCCCCGGGGGCTCCGGTGGACAC